GTTGCTACTCTGAGGTGTGTGCCAGGCCAATGTGGTATGCCAATGTGGTGGGCAACCAAGAAGCAGGCAGTCTCGCCAAAGAGGGGGCCAGGGGAGAGGCCGTAACAGATGACCCACCATTTGTGACGATCAATACCATAGAGTTATCAATACACTGAAGGAAGCTATAGCAACTACCATCTAGACCAAGCTGCAAGAGACGTGGCAAAACCGTGAGGACTGCGCTACAGCTCGAAGACAGCTGTGGTCAGTAGTAGATAGCAAAAAGACACAACAACAACTACTAGAGCACAAAAAACCTAGTACGCATAATTGTAGGTGTCATCACTGGAAACTGCCCCCTGAAACCATAGAGCACCTGCTGTGCCACTGTCTGGCACTGGAATACCGACGCGACGCTTTAAAACTTTAGGGCAAGGTTTTTTGGTTGGATTGCTTTAACGCAAAGAAAGAATGAGAGGAAGGTTTAGTACATTAATAAGAGGGGTATCGCAATAGGCCCAAGGCCTCTGAGTGAGGGATCAAACTTTATCCCAAACCCCAGCAGCTAACGTAACTTAACACACTTGATAACGGCCAGTGAGATATTTGATCGAAAAGTTGTGAAGTTAAAATGAATAAAGGCAATTGAAGTTCATTTTTTTTAGTGTCAATCCGTGTTCTATTTTGAGGATAATTAAATTATTATTATTTTGATTTAACACTTAAACAGATTTACAATGCGAAAATAAGGTTCAAAGCTGAACGTTGTGTTATTCTGATAACTCACGCACATTTTTATATTGCTAAATTTAAAATTCTAGCGCTAAAATTAGAGTCTGGACCGCGACCTAGTCTAACCGGATATTGCGACGACCTTGAAGATTAGTGCTGTTGTTCGAAATTAATTATCTAAAGGTCCCCATACACTTCGGTTATTTTACACGATTTCAGCCCAGCGAGTAGGACTGTTTTGGTCAGTTACAAAAACACTCACAAAAACGTAACATAAACTCAGTTATGTGAGTGATTGGCCTAGTTTTACCTGTTCGTTATATCTGTCTTCGCTAGATATTTTTACTAAAACCACGCAGTTTTATTTTAAGCCAGTGTAGTTGCGCGAACAGTCCTTTATATATTTTTTTTACCGCAACTTTAGAATTTTCTTTTTTACCGCAATTAACGCCACCACTTTTAACGAATTATTTCTCGAATATTAATTCTGTGCTATAGTTCTTACAGAGTATAACAAATCAAGGAGTAGCGTCACTTCGGTTCCGAAATTTACAAGCGCATGCGCGAAATAGACAGGATCCACGTCAACATAGGATACGAATCAGCCGGCCGAATTTAGTCAGGTAGCAAAGGCAATAAAACATGATATTGACATTTGAGTGCGAAACGTGTTAATTGTTGTTTGCTGTGTTTTTAATAATTATTATTAATAATGCCAGGAACATGTTGTGCGTATCGCCCTTGTAAGACCAGGAGATAAGAAATCCATGTTTTCATTTCGCAAAGACTATGATCGTAAGTACATTTAACCATGTATTATAAAGTGTTCTATGAGTCCACTTCAAGTTTCTTACAGTGTATTCGACATAGTTCACGTTTTGAGCAGTGTATTAGGGTACGAACATAGTGGAGGCAGGTTTCTGCTTTCCGGCAACCAGCGCCGTCTCTGGGGACCTATTCTTGACCACGTATCGCTCACATCTCGCATCTCCGAAAAAACCATATAACAATACACGTGATGCGTAACTTTGCGTATATGCCGTGTATTGTTATATGGCTTTTTCGGAGATGCGAGCAGGGTTCGGAAGTAGTTAATTAAAGGAAATTTACCTGATTAACTAACCTAACCTAACCTAACCATATCCAAACGCCGCTCCCGCCGCGCCGGCCCCGCACATAGGGGTATTTGGTCTATAAACCTGGCCAAAAGTGAAATATTTTTATTTTCATTTTTTATCTTAACTGAATACAAATCTATAAATACTAAACGTAAGCGCGTTTATTAGCTTTTTTTAAGTCGTAAGTTGACTATCAAATAAATAATATATTTCAATTATAAGTATGAATTATCTTGAGTGTATTCTGAAAATTTCTAAGATTATAAAATAGTGGAATTGTTTGTAGTGCTTTTTTTACAAATTGTTTATAATAACTGTCATGATGGATACAGAGCCAGCTGGCAAGTCCTGTTTTATGCCATATTTTTATTTTGAAACGTTTCCTTCTATTCTATTTCTTTATAATGTTTTATATTTAAAAAATCAGAGGCATTTTTATAAGGTGTAAGACTATTCAGCAATATTCCGCATGGAAATTAGTATCCGTTCAGTGCTTAAAGTCTCCAGCTTTGTAATATGTACAAAAATCTTGCCAATATTTGCCACTGCCAAAAAAAACATTGATTTAAATAGATTCTTAAACGAAATAGTCTTTACCCTATAACACCTATCCTCGCTCAAATATCGTCTATAATATACAAATTACTTTCTTGTTCTAGCATCCTCATCCAATTGCTTGGTTTTGCACAGAATGCACCCTCTCCTCTAATAATTTGATCGGTGGAAAAGGTTTCAGAGTAGAGGAAAAAATATTGTGTAGGAAAAACAAAATAGGGTTCCATATTAGCACCCTCTCCTCTAATAATTAATATTACTAGCAAAAAAGCAAAAAAATCATAAAACATAATTTTGGCCAACTTTTAGTTTAACAGAAATAAATAAATTTTCGTTCCGGTAAAAGCGAGAACGCCGATGAACGCTGGTTGACGGCTCCTACCTGCTTTCACTGTGAACTAGCCGATTTGAAAACACGCTTTAATTTTTCAAGGTTATAAGCGCGAGGCGGCGCGGCGCGGCGCTACGATGTACCCATATACAGGGTGTCCCAGAAATAAGTGCAAGTATTTTAACTTAACTGGTAGTATAGTTCAACCTCAGAAACACGCCTATGAGGTTTTTTTCTAAATATTTTTTTTTGAAAATGCGGAATTTTTTGAAAATATTTTTGGAATTTTTTTGCAATTTTTTTTAGTTTTTATCTCGGTTTTTATTTAAAAAAATAATTTCTTGATAATATGGCAACATAGGTAGTAGATTAAATTTTTTTTAAAAGATCCAGTGGTTCTCAAACAAATCTCGAAGTATTTTAAAGAATATGTAAGGACCAAGAACTATTGACTACAATAAAACGACGGAAAGCAGCATATTTTGGTCATATTTTTCGAAATAACAAATATAGTTTCCTACAGCTGATCGTTGAGGGAAAGATTGAAGGACGACGAGGCATCGGGCGTAAACGGTTTTCCTGCATGCGGAATTTGCGCCAATGGTTTAATATAGGAGAGGCAAGTGTAATTATCCGTTCGGCTCAAGACAGGGAGGAATTCCAATTGATGGTCGCCAACCTCCGATGAGGAGAAGGCACATGAAGAAGGTTCTCAAAATTTGAGCAAAAAATCATTTTTTTTGGAAATTTTCAAAGTAAAATAACTCCGTTATTTTGGACTTATTTGAAAAACGATAAAGAGAAAATATGTTTCTTTTATCGAGATCTACCACCCTTTAAAATACTTGCACTTATTTCTGGGATACCCTGTTTATAACAATACACGTGATGCGTATACGCAAAGTTGCGAACGATGTCAAGAATAGGTACCCAGATTGGCGCTGGCTACCAGTAAGCGGCAAACCTGCTTGCACTGTGTTCGCACACTTAGTCAGAACCTTCAAAGCCGGCGGCTAAAATTGGAACATCAATCATCAAATGTTCCGACGCTTACTGTCGCTACTCGTTGATTTGTTATACTCTGGTTCTTATCTACGGCTCGGATAAAATGAAGTGTTAAAAATGAGACAGTGGGTGGAGGTTGCTTGTCCGTGCTTTTTATCTGCGCGGTTTTAACTGTACGACTAAAACCGAGCGAAATAACCGTGTATGGAGGCCTTTAAAAGTGGACGTTATATGGTTTATTTTTTGACATGTATTTTTGAACAACATATTATTCACAACAGAATTTGTTGATGCATTTCTATTAAGTTTGTTTTTTAATTGGATTAAAAAAATACTTCTCCGTACAAATTTTTCTCTTTCAATGATTATGCAACGATTTGATTGATTTATTCAGTTTAGCTAAAGCAAATGGATTTTACATGTATATCCTTTAGTTCACGTGACTTTAATCAGTTTGACCGAGACAGGTTAAATTGGAACTTTACAAAATAGCTTTATGTTATTGATGTGGTTTTTAAATAAATAAATTAGTCAAAGAGGTTTAACAATAAGATACAAAGATTCTTATATTAATCTTTGTTAATTTGATCTTTTTTTTTATTTTGTTTTTCTTATGTAGATTTGTATTTTTTTCCTTATTGGTGACTTGTCTTTTACAGAATAAAATATTATTCTATTATTATTAATACATAGTGATTTTTTGTCCCACCTTGATATACAGTGTTAAATTTTATTTTGTCCCAGATTTAGCAGACTACAACTTTTTTATTTTCGGAATTACAGTAGGTATTCATTCAAAAATCAAATTGTAGGGTTTTTAGTCGAGTTTAATTGTGTATTACCAAAAATGTCATACGCCGGCGCCGTCAGTTATTGGTATAAACTCTATTTTTTTTAAATGGGGCGCTCTGTATATTAGATGTGTATGTGTGTACTAAAATAATTCGAAAACGATTTACGCAAATATAGACAAACTATATTATATTTGAAGTAGGAAGATAAAGATATTTTTAAAAATCTTAAAATATACAGGGTGTTCCGTTAAAAAATGTTAAAACATTCTTAACATTCTGATTTTTTTTGTTATTTTTTTTTCTACTATTTTGGCTAATTTTAATAATGTTAATAAAAGAAAATAGAACGTAAGATTAAATTCTCTAATAGTGATTTAACTCAGAGCCAGATATAATTTTGAAACATTGAAAAAAGAATGTAGTAACTTGATATATTTTTTTTTAATATTTAGTTACCATTACTAAAGAAAACTTTTGTTTCAGATCTGATGGCACGGACTCTCCTATAATAGAGGAGTCACATGACAGTGCCATTTCAGACAAGCCTAAGCAGCAAGTCAAGTATGGCGAACTAGTTATTTTAGGGTGAGTAAATCTATTTTTCAAATTATTTGAAGGGTACGGGGGTCAAAACATTGTGGGTCAAACATGTCATTGCATTTTCTGATGAAAATAAACAAAATCCCATCTTATTTTTGGGGAAAATAGATTGAGATGCTCCTTAATTCCCCCTAGCACCTGACTAGGAGCTACCCCACCAACGACAAGGTGTCGTACCTCTTAGATGAAGTACCAAAACCTAACTTCTAATGACCTTCTTGAGGTGATAACTATATCCACACAAAGAAAAACTCAAATATAAATTTATTGGTAACGATCCGGCCTCTGTTTACTTCATTTTCAATAAGGCTTATCAATACATAAAAGTGGGCAATAATTTTTTATTTTAGCTGTTATGACCAACAAGTCACCTTTCTATTCTTTAGTCGTGGACTTCTTTTCTTTGGTCTTGGATTGTTCGCAATTTAATTTCTCCATGTGTTACAACAATTCATAGCTTTTTAAGTATATTTTAAAGCATTTTAGGAATGCATCATTTCGTTAACTAAAAAAAGTAACAATTACATATTATTTTTTGCCCTCCAATAATGATAAATGTCACTGTAACTATTTCACGATTATCTCAAAATTTAATTAAGTAAGCGAATTTAATGAGTTTTTTATTAGCGACGACGCGACAGACGTAGAGGTAAATAATATCTTTGTATGGATTTTTCCTTAACCTCTTTAGTCGTTAACTATAAAACGGCCATAAAACCGTATGAAATTTATATTAAACACAGTACTATTTCGCCACAAATATATACTAAACCAGAGACTAAACGAATTGAAAAATCAGGGAATGTTAGGTTATAATATAATCCTGGTTATAACTCTCCTGGACGAGACTGACATTAAGTTTGTCATTAACGGTACATCGGTTGTCACGGGAAATAAATCTTTTACTTGATTTGTTTATAGTTATAGCGCACATAAGATTTAATAGTATTTTCAATTTCAAATCAAGGATATTAGTCCAGTAAATAACAACACGAAAAGATCCAAGCCGTAATCCGTCGACCTTGAGTTTTTGGCGGATTGTGTACCTTTTGGGGAGTAGTTTTAGAGAAAAAAATTTTAACAGCGTGCGATTTGTTTTAACAGTTGTTCTTAGAGTCTCTAAGCAACTCAGAGAGTTTGAAGTATTTGTTTAATCACATTTTATGATAAAAAACAACTATTCGTAAGTGGCTTTTCCCCTTTTTTTGGGATTTCCGAAAAGTGTCGCAAACAACAGAAAATTGCATAATAACTTTATAACAAACTCCTCAAAATCTGGCATATTTTCTCAATGACTCGACGGATTTTCAAAAACGAAGCGGGGAAATATAGAGAATTGAAAGCTCTTTTCATTGCGGTGCCACTTGACCCCCCATCCCATTTGAAAAAAGTTGGGGGATGACACCCCCGCTTAGAGGGTTGAAGATTTTGCAGTCATTTTTGGGGTAAAAGTTGTCCCCCTCACAAACAAAATTGACGTGTTTTTGGATTTTCTGAAAAAAAAATTACCCTGGCCGTTATGCCGTGTGGAACGTTTTCGATGGGCCACCCTGTATGAACAATTTCACATGGGTCGCGTATGCTCTGTCCGGATGAGTTATCTTGAAAAAACATCCTCGCGGGCCAGTTCCATGAATTTAAATGAACAATTTCACATGGGTCGCGTATGCTCCGTCCGCATGAGCTATCTTGAGGAAACTTCCGCGCGGACGGTCCGCTTCATCTGAAAGCGCTGTAAAGGACGCATACAGGCCTATGTTCTACCTCAAAAGTTAGACTATTTTTTCATAGAGTACCCAGTTATTTTGAAAATAAATAATAAACATGAAGTTTTTTGCTTCTGCGTAATTCTAATGAAATTTAGATTTTTATGCGACCAGTCTTTATATACTATTAGAAAGGGATGTAAAAGAGTCATTGCGAAATTGGATGTTTTATGTATAGCCCGCCACGCATAAAAATTACTCCTAACGCTCCTAACGCTCCACACATACAGGGTGTCCCAATATTTCGTGGATATAGAACTACTACGTATTTTTGGAATCAAAATAAGTTCATTGGATACAATGTACCTCTATACCAGGGTTTCTTAAACTTTTTGCAGTCACGGACCACTTTCGCGATTTGTACAATTCCACGGACCCCTATCAGAAATAATAGAGGAAAATAAAAAAAGCCTTATTTACATAAAAAAGAAAACGTAATAAATATGTTTACAATTAACTGGCGTAATGCAGACCGCGGACCCCTGATATACATGCTATGAACCGCTAAGAAACTTAACACTTTAAGAAATCCTGCTCTATACAAAAGGAGGCATCAAACTTTAAAAAAATAAAAAACATTTTTTCAGATATTTTAAGAACCGTTATTCCAATTTGAATGAGATTTTGGGTGTCTATATATTGCATACAAACAAGGGTATTGCTAAGTGCTTTAACATTTGGCTTTCAAAAATATCAAGACGGGAAATACGGGAGGGGTGAAAACTACCCATACCTCTACATAAATTTAAATACAGTAAAACTTCCCATTTCGGCCACTTCTAAAAAGCGGTCACTTACTGGAGCGGCGAGCTCTCGCCAAAACCAATAGCCGCGTAAGCGCCTGTCAGCCCAGAGATGTATTCAAAAAATTTTACACGTGACGTAAAAAATTATTCGACTGTGCTAGAACATAATTTAGATACACGTTTTTTAAATTGTTGACTTTAAATAAATATGCATTCTCAAAGAAAAACATTTAAAAAACAAATTAATTAATTTATTTCTAGAAATAACAGCAAAATGAAATAAGTACATTGATTACTTATAGTTATTTACGAATGTTTCTAAATTAGGAGCTTTCGGTTTTTGTTTGCTACATTTAAGTTCTTAGTAATATTCTTTAAGGTATAATAATTTCTAACTTTTGCGTATAAATTTAACAAAAAATACATTATAGGAAAATTTTGATTGATGGTTGAATTTAATTGTCTGAAATAATTTAACGAATTTACATAATATATTTTCATTTAAGAAAAGTTCTTCAAAATTGTTCTGAAAAATTTTATAAAAAAACTTTTTTAAAAACAAGTTTTTATTTAAATACACTAAAAAGAATAAAATAAACTTTTTCTTTAGAACTTTTATTATGAACTTATAACGTCATTACACAATTTTAATATTATATAAAAGCTTGTCGCGAGATTTGAGTGTACATTTGCACTCATAAAAATCTGGTACGACAACTTTATCTTGTAATTCCTGGTCTAGTGGTCTATCATAACAGAAACTTTGAGAATGAGACAGGGTAGACACAGGTTTTAGTTAATTTACTTGTTTATCGATGTAGAGAAATCTCGCGACAAGCTTTTATATATCTAATATTAAAATTGTGTAATGACGTTCTAAGTTCATAATAAAAGTTTTAAAGAAAAAGAGTTTATTTTATTCTTTTTAGTGTATTTAAATAAAAGATTGTTTTTAAAAAAGGTTTTTTTATAAAATTTATTTTCTACTTTTTAGTTATGCTGGTTTCTCAGTGCCACACACTTAACAATTGACAGTTCAAATGTGAGATAAATAAAATGAAAACCGACTATGGGGTAGGGGGCATCCAATATATCGATTTTTATCAAAATCGGACAACTTTGAAATTTTTTTAACAGCTGTCAAATTTGACAGCTTAAATTTTTTTCTTTCATTTTAGCCCATGGCCATCCTATATATCAATTTTTATGAAAATCGGTTGACTTTGAAATTTTGACATGTCATTAAACTGTCATTTTTTCAAGATGGCCGCCCATATAATTTTTTTCATATGTATATACCCACAATATACCCATACAGGTTGTTAAATTGTTCATTACTCGCGGCAAGAGTTTTATGGTTGAAATAACCTCGGCCCGCTCGTCGATAGACAACGCGACGGGACGAGTAAGCAGAAAAATCAATAATGCATACGTTCTCAATAGGCAGTGTTGCCATTCTGTTTCCCTATAAGTAACTGTCGAGTTAACAACCTGTATATATATATATATATATATATATATATATATATATATATATATATATATATATATATATATATATATATATATATATATATATATATATATATATATATATATATATATATATATATATATATTCAGCCCGATCCATTCATAAATAGAATTTTAAAAATCAAAAGCCTCAAAAAAATGCCGCCATTTTGACAGCTGTCAAAAATTCGGGTCATGCCTTGCAAAAAAATGTATTGTCATTGGGACTGAACCTACATGCTAAATTTCAATCTCCTACAATAAAAGGAAGTGGTTTTAATTTAGCTGACAAGATTTGCCCCGAACAAACGTACATACATACATAGATACATACATAGATAGTTACATACAAAGCAAGTTAAATAAAAGCTTATAAAAATAGCCTCCAATGAGGAAACTAAATAAAAAAATGGTCACTTGGCGTTAGCAAGCCTCCAAATAAGTAGTCTTCATCATTTTGAAAAGCTCTAAAGTGTGAATATACTTTTGAATTGAACATTAATTTTGAATTGAATTGAAAATTAAACAGACTATATTTTGAATTATTTCCATAATTATTTGTGCAACCAGCAGCCGCACATCCCGGAAAACCTTTTCCCATTCCATCAATAAAAATAAAATTGAAATAAAAGCACAAATACCTATGGTTAAATATAAGAAAAAAAATCGAATTAAAATCTTCCGTAATACGGCCCTACGCGCCACCGCGGTGGCGCGTAGGACCGGTGGAGGCTATGCATCGACTGAATGAGGCTGACTGTTGGTCGCTTAATTCAGTTAGCGCATCGTCGGAGTGGGGCGTTTTAAATTCGAGCGTGGGAAAAATTGGCGAGTGTCAAAGCTATGTTATTCTGTAAGCTGTGGTATTGCTAAGTGCTTTAACATTTGGCTTTCAAAAATATCAAGACGGGAAGTACGGGAAGGGTGAAAACTATAGTCTGTCCAACGAGAAGATCCTTGA